TTCCCTGCCTGTCACCTGGGGAAGCAATTCCCTCAAGATAGGGTCATTAGCATGTCATTTGCACACAGATTTATTTATTTTTTTAAAAAGGTAAAGGTCACCACAGAACAGGAACTCCTAGGAGCCAGCAAGGGCGGCCTTTAAAAGGCAGTAATTGGCAGCAGGGTTGGAGTCCCTGTGGAGAGGGCTCTGAGGGCTGCTGTCAACTGTTCCTACTCCTGACCTCCACTAGCCAGAATTGAAATGACCCTAGTGGGATAGCCCAGGAAGGGGCAGAAGTCCTTGGCTCCTGGGTGGGCTGAGGCTCTTAGCTCTGAGCCCAGAGACCTTGTGCATTTGGGGGGGGGGGGAAGACTTTCCCTTCTCATGCTCTGGTTGGTAGCTCCCCCTAGTCAGTGCTGAGGTCCGCTTTCCCTCCCATGTAGTTTGACTAGGCTGTGGTTGAGTGTGAATGGTGCCCCCTAGAGGTTGACCCTTGACCTTTAGCTGGTGGTGGGATTTTGGAAGGTTGTGGAACCCTGAGGGGGTGGAGCCTCACTGGAGAAGTGGGTCTTCAAGGGAAGGGGTCACTTGTAGCAAGATTCCCCTTCTGAATTTTGATTTATGATCGTGGACACAATGTGACTGTCTGTTTCCTGTCCCTGCTGCCGTATCTGTTAATCCCACCGGACTAGAATAAGACCACTACCACAATACAATTTTGAGCCAAATTTGAAGCCAGCTTTAATTAAATACTGACCAGAATGTTGGACTCTGGCCAGGTTCATTCCAGAATTCCCAGAAAATGGCGACAAGTCACATTTTGCAGTATCTAAAAAGGCAAATCCATTATACCACACATTTCCCACCAAGTCCAATCAGGGGCAAGCATACATCTTGATGCATTTCCTGCCCATGTGCCTCCTGCCTACTTGTGATCAAACATCTCTTGAAGCTGAGCCACACAAACTCATTTAGGAGAGGAAAAACAGTGGCTTGTTATCTTCCATAAATAACAGCCTCCATCATTTCAGGAAGTGTCTGTCGTTGGACAAGTGGCACACAAGTTAGAGTCCTTTTTGTTTCATGGATCTCTTGGGCACAGTAATTAAAACTCAAACCTTAACTTTGGCTCTTACATATCTTTCATTGCCAACCACAGTGGACTGTGCCACCTTAAACTGTAAGCCCAAAGAAACCCTTCCTCCTTGCTAGTCAGGGCGTTGATCCCAGCAACCAGAAGAGAAGTATAACTCATGAGCCAGATAACATTTGTGAAAGCCCAGGCTTCACGTTCTATTGTCTTCCTAACACCTGTGGAAATAAAGGCATATTTGGTAAAAACAAAACAAAAAAACACACCTTACAAAAAATAACAACAATAAAAAATAACCATGCCTTTGATGGCTGGCAGATTGTGAAATCATCTTAGGTGCCAGCATGCAGTTCACACATGAAGAAATGCTATGCACACTTAACCACTCATCCCCCCGCCCCCACATTCTTCTCTCAGAAGACTTTCTTCAGACCTTGGTAGGGGACTGCTAGGCAGATTAAGCAAAGAGGGAAGAACATTCTGGCTCTCTGGAGCAAACAGACACGGGAAGGCAGATACACAGATGTAAATGTAGAAGGACTACCACACTCCATGGTGTGGCCTCTTTGTTCCACTGGGCTGACCAGATTTAATAAAGGGGCAACATGAAACACTGAAAAGCAAACACTCAGTTCCTCAAAATTCTAGCTCCAGGATAACAGGGTTTTGCCCGATTGTACCTTGTGGGCCTGTGTTCTGAGAATTCAGTTCTTCCCCTGAAGCTGGGCATCTTCCCTCCCTCCTAGGCCTGATGGAGGATCAGGGGTAATGACCACTAAGTGGTTTGTTAACACTCAGATAGGCAGACCCTTTCACCACCCCCCCCGGCCTGTACCATGTGTCTCCCATACCATGTATCTTTTTAATGTTATCTAGGATTTTCCTATAAATCTGCATTGATGCTAAGTAGCAACTTAATATCCTTCAAGATGCAGGCAAGGTTCTCCAAGTTCAAAACACAAATGCACAGATTTGTATGGACTATCAAAGGGCACACGGGCAGTCACGAGCATGCTAGGAAGAAGACAACGGAGAACACAGGGCAGATGCTCATTCTCTGAGGCAGCCTTATGAGACAGTCCTGGAACAGATAGCCATATGGGCCAAAGAGTTCCTGGGATGGGGAAAGAGGCCATTCCGGCACACCAAGAGCCAGCAGGCCTGGACACAGGGATGACAAGGGACGGCAGGCAGCCATCCATAATGCTTCGTCTCTTATTAGGGAGCTTCTGTCAGGGATTATTTTGTGGTGGTCCGTGTGTCTGTGTGTACACATGCAAGTATACATGTGTAAATGTGGGCAGGGAGGCCAGAGGTTAACCTCTGGCTCTGTTTCTTAGACTGTGACACAGTCTCTTCATGGAAACCTGGGGCTCAGTGAGGCTAGGCTGGTTGACCAGAAAGCCCCACGGAGCCTGTCTCTACCTCCCCAGCTGGGATTGTAAGCATATAGCATCACCTGTAGCTTCTTTGGCCTGAGGTCTGAGGGCCAAGTCATTTCCTTGTGCTTTTCCAACTGCCCTATCTGTCCTGGGTCGTTTTTAAAGGGACCCGAGTCTGTCGTAGAATGCTCTCCCACAATGTAAGAGCCAATACCATCTTCGTCACAGCAGCTGTAACTCCCCGCAAGAGGCCTTTTAAGACTGGACCTGCTGCCACAGAAGGGGTGGGAAGGTTCATCAGGCCCTTACCTTAGATTGTACCCACTCCTTTCTTTACCTCCCTCCCAGCTGTATGTAATTCTGTTCAAGTGGCAAGTGATTTCACTGTCTTGGGATGCGCTCGAGCTTATGGATGGAGGAAGGTCACCTGAAGATAGGCTCCATCTGTGCAGCATCTATCATCCGTGTGGGGTCAGACTCTGTAGTGGGTCACTCACACACCCCACTCGCCTTGTTCCACACTCCATAACTCAGCACGCTAACTCATTTGCTTGCCCAGTGGGACTTTGATGGAATCATTCCTTTGTTCTGTCCCTGGTGCCCTAATCTGAGGTTAGCAGACAAGGTGTATGCCTGTGCCCAGGGGGAAAGCACTCACGACCCACATGAAAAATCCAGGGAGGATTTGTAGATGACATTTTCAGCTATGTTGCCGAACAAGCCAGTGTGTGAAGTGGTTTAGCTACCGGGAATAGGAACGAGGGGTAAGATCATCCATGCCTTTGATTTATTTGATCTACTAGACGTTTTTATTTATATAAAAGAAAAACTGCATAGAATGAAAATAAGTGCTTTAGATTTTGATATAAAAAGAACATGGTGCATTCACATTCCTATTTTAATACATGAGTATGGCTGAAGTGTTCAACAAAAGAATAAAACCTTCCCTTTATGCGGAGTAGTGAACAGAAGTCAACGTGACGAGGAATGACTACAATGCTATTCCTTGGTCTTTTTCTTGAATAAGAAAAAAATGGCATAAACAAAACAAGCCACAGTAACATGACACTGTGTTCCAGTTTCTGATGATAACCCGGAAGCGAAATCACTTTCGAACCTTAGAAATCCCACTAGTGGACCAGTATTCTATAAACTCACCGCTAGAGGGCGGTGAACAACAGCTATTGGGAGGGCGTCGGCATGCCCTAAGGTGCAAGTGGGTTTGGGGGATTTCCAAGGTGTTGCTCAACACACTTCCACGGGGCAGAGTACACAGATTTCTGTCCCATCCCCATCTTGACCATGTATCCTAAACCCCCTATGAACTGAGGCCTCCCATGGTCCAGACAGAATAAAATGAGCTTTGGTGGCCCTTCAATCATGTTCCTATTTGGTTGAAAAGAAACTTCAAAAACACATTAAAAAAATACTGTTGCTAGCCCCATCCACATTTGGAGGTGGATTAGCAAGATCCCTAATTAAAGCCCATTCTTTGCGCTCATCCAAGTGGACACAGATTTCCGAACTCCACATGGAAGTCTTGTGTGTCCCCTATTCAAAGCCATTTCTGCAAGGGTTAGGACCATGCCGAGACCAAGAACTTGATTGACCTAAGGAGGACCAAGCACAGGAGGTCCCGAGGTCCAATTCCTAGTCAGCTTCAATTCCTAACATCAGACAAGGTACATACAGTCCAGCATGGCACCAATACGCGGCGGCTTGAATGCCCATTTCTAGTGTGTTCATGTGTGTGAGGGTGTACGTGTGGTGCATGCGTGTCTGGAGGTCAGGGGTCAAAGACAGGGTCATTCGCCAGGATACTGTTCACCTTTCTGAGAGTCTTCTTAGCTGACCAGTAAGTTCCCATGGGTGTTCACCTCCCCAGTGCTGAGATTACAAGTGTGTTCCGAGGACCATGGCTTTTTATCATGGGTTCTGGGGGATTGAACTCAGGTCCTCTTGCTTGCGAGGCACTGGTTTTTATTTGCTGAGCTATCTCTCCAGACTCCCAGATGCTCATTTCTTACAACGGATCTCGACTGGCAGCAGCTTTCATTTCCAGACTGGGGTGGGGGTGGGTAATGAGAAGACTGTTTAAGGGTGAGAAAAGAAGCAGAGGTGTCAGAGTCACACCGTCTTACTGTCAGCGGTGCCCTCTAGAGGGGACGCTGGGAACACACTCACTCCTTACCTAGAATGGAGATTTTTCTGCGACACCTCCAATACTTAAACTTTTACAGACAGTGTGCTGACTAAGCAAAACACGGGCTCAAAGTATCCCCAGACACAGTTGTACAGGATGGGCAGTGTGTGTGTGTGTGTCATTTAAATCCTGTCTGCTATTCGGGCGCCTGGGAAGATGGAAGCCATCGGTGTTGCCATGGCAAGCGGGTGACTATCACAGGAGAGTGACAAAAATGAAACACAGTGCTGCAAGGGCGGGGTGTGGTGTGTGCCACACTAAACCAAAAATCAACTGGGAATAGCTGGGAATGAGTAATAATAACTTCGGCACAGAAGAAAAATCAAACAGCACAATCTTATCAGATGGTCGACACTTTCATGGGTGGGGAAAATGTCCTCTTTGACTTCTGTAGTCCATGAAAGCGGAAGGATGGAGCCAGGGTTCTAGGCTAAGTCCACAGGTTCACAAGTCAGATGTGGGACTTGAATGTCGACGATAAAATGAAGAAAAACAAGGCACATGGAAGACCTTGGGACATAGCGGTGGGCTGGAACTTAGCTCCCTGGCCAGGAAAGCACCCACATATAGAGGGAAATTATTGCAAAACAAAAGTGTTTTGTGGCCAAAGCAGGCTGTGAGGCATGGATCCTTTTCATGCAACCATCCCCCCAACCCCACATTCGGGGGACCATCGCGTGTGATTGTCAAGTGCTAATGTTGTCCCGAGTCCCTTCTGCTCCAGTTTGGAACTCTCCAATAAAAGCTAATCTCCCGGGAGCATTTGATCTTTTTCTTTGTCTCCTTGCAGAGTATGGCTATAGATAGAGAGATATAGACATATATAGATATATAGATATAAAACATAGCTATCCATATTTACATACAGGCATTAATAAAGTGCAAATGTTATTGGCTGTTGTAAAAATCAATCTCATTTCCTGAGGAGGTGCTAATACAGCTTATGCCATGACAACGTCCAAGGCACAGAATGCTCTGTGTCACTTAGCCCCTACTGCTCCTGCTGCTGCTGCTGCTGTTTCTGAATATGGAGCAGCTCTCAGGTAAGAAGGGAGCAAGTCCTTGGTTTCCCAGAAGCATCCGTGAGGACAGCATCCAGCTGCCTCTGGTCTTTGGTGAAAGGGCGGCTTCTGGAGGCTTGGTCCAGCCTGCCCAGAAAAAGCTATTTGGTAGTGTTCAGTGAGCCATCTTCTGGAATCTTCTCCTGGGAGCAGCTCCTCCCAGAGAGTCTGTCTGGATGCTCCAGGTCACTGAAGCGCTCTGCCACACACTGGGCTGTGAGACGGGCCTCAGGGTCATGGTCCCAGCACTCTGTCAGCGTCTCACACACGATCTGGATGCCCTGCAGAAGAAGGGAGGGGTTCCAAGGGCATCGTCAGTGGGTGGTCTCCATGGAATTAGCATCAACACATCGTTGTCAAATGATGTCCTATCAGAATAGGGTTTAGACTCCCTATGTGGTCATATGTGCACAGATGTGTGCCGAAGGGTGAGGTCAACTGTCTTCCTTAATCTCTCTCCACCTTAGGTTTTGAGACATGGTTTCTCATTGAACCCAGAGCTCACTGTTCACAGGAATTCTCATTGAACCCCGAGCTCACTGATCACAGGGATTCTTACTGAACCCAGACAGAGCTCACTGATCACAGGAATTCTCACTGAACCCCAAGCTCACCAATCACAGGAATTCGCACTAAACCCCAAGCTCACTGATCACAGGGTTTCCCACTGAACCCCGAGCCCACTGCCTTGGGATCCTTCCATCACCTCTTCCTCCACACTGTTTCACAGGTGCACACCATGACACCCAGCTATTATATGGGTATCAGGGATCCAAACTCAGGTCCTGACAGTCGTTTGTAAACCCTTTCCTAACTGTGCCATCTCTCGGGCATCTCGGGTCCATCCTTGGTAGCATGCATTATAAAGACTGTAAGAAACATATCCATTCCAGGGTCTGAAAGACCCCTGATTCCCACCTTAGGCCTTGGTTCTCTCTTTCCCTTGCCTTTCTCGGCATCTGGACTTCTACTCTTTCAGAATGTAACATGACTGGAACACCGGTACCCTTCTGTTTGAGCAAAGCTGCGCACCCAGGCCCAGATGGAGCAGGTATTAGCCTGGATTCACTTTGTAAAGTCTATATTTGATAGAATGACTCAAAAGTTGCTCCCAGGACTGCCAAGAGTGTCCCCATGATGCCCCAGTCACCTCCAATGGCATTAAGCCAGGCTCTTTGACATGGCTATCTTTGTATGCCAAATAAACCTGACTGTAAGATACTTTGTAGCCCATCCTTCCCAAGACAGCTCCACCCACTGATCCTGACCACCAAGCAGGAAAGGTTGTCCAGTCAGCAAGGGCTCTACCACAGGCTGGATTTCATTCTGCATCATGAAGATTTTTGTTACTATTTCAAGGCCTCTCAGAATATCAGAAGGTAAGTAAATAGTCTGAGACATAGAAATAAGATCAGTTCCTTCCATGTAGAGGACAACATTGCCCTGGTGACCTCCATACAGGTAAGGCAGATACACCTAACAGTCTTTGTGGAGAGCTGGCACTTACCTGCCAATCCCAGCCACTTTCACATCTACGGAGCTGCCCCACCCCCAGCTCTTGATGTGGAATTAATTGCATAATTCACCTAACTGATGGTATTGATTGATGGCCCCGCTAAGAGTAGAGTGTTATTGTTGCTATACCAGAAACATTTATTTTGTTCTGACACAGTAATTACAGGCAGTAAATTGAATTAAATATTAAGCATTACCTTGAAATCAATAGGGCAACAAATCTCATTAAGAGAAAAAAATGTATTATGCAAATTTTTTCCAGAATTTTATCATAATGAATAACGGCTTCATTATAAGAACTTTACAGGAAAGACCTCAAGAGACGGTGAGTGACATAGTTTCACTAGGACACACCATCCATCCCAGCACCTTCTAATTCCTTTTTTTTTTTTTCAAACAATCTTGCATTTTTAGAACTAAAGACAATTTGTCTGAGAGCCTGGTGAAGCTCTTAACCCTGGGAAGCCTGGCTCACCTACTTCCTGATCACAAGGCTGGCTCTGGGCCGGGGCTGGCTCCTTGCACACTTCCTGCCCTATGTGTCTTCCTGATTAGGCCTGGCTTGCTGTTTCTGGTTCTCACTTGAATTCCCCATGGCTTTAGGCAAACCGACACACCCGTGGCCAGCGAGGATAAAGGACTTTATCCATGAGAACAGTGAAAGGTTCTGCTGTATGGAAAAAGCTCTTTCTTCACCAGGGCTCTTCCTCGGGTGCACCCCACATGTGGTCAACTGTCTCTCACTTACAACCTAATCTTCCTTCCCCTCTCCTCCAACTTCTGCTATGAGCAGCCTTAACTTCCAGTTCTTTGGAAGGAGTGATAGAGAGCTGTGTAGATGTCACTCAACTGGCTGGCCTCCTCATCCTTCTCTTCATTGATTTCCTGGCCTCCATTGTGGTGGCCAGTTTCCTCCTTCCCAAGCATGCTCATACGGGCTCTCCTCTCACCTCCACGCACAGTTAGCAGATACAAGGACACCGGCTACCTGACTACCCTGCTTGCTTCCAACTGCTAAGTATTTCTCTGTGAAGTTGAAGAATCCCAGCAGAACAAAGTCAGAATGAGAGGGAATGAGATACAGGTTCCTGGTGTGAAGACACAGGAGTAGACAGCAGACATAGCTAGCAAAATATCTTAACCCTGAATCAAGAGGGCTTAGGAAAGGTGACCAGTGCCCACGCAGTCCTCTGAGAGCGCTCTGTGAAGGCTGTATAAGCCCGGTGATGGCAATTTAGGAGAACAGGTCATCCACTTATACTGAAAATTTCCTTAGGAACACAAACCAAACAGGGTTACGGAAAACCAAGGGCCCTGCACTCAGAGTTAAGCTCCATCACCCAGAATTCTCTGCTGCCTGAAAGCAGACTTCACTGCATGGCCCTTCTGGCCCTTCAGAGTCAGCCCTGCTTACCTGGTGGTTGAGCCAGAAGCTGGGGATTTCAGGCCGTCCTCGGTCTCTCAGCACGTTGTCCTTCATGCTCTCCACGCAAGGGTGCTCCCTGACCTTGGAACCAAATGGGGGTTCGTAATCTTTCACCTCTGTGAAGAAAACAGACAGATGCCGTTGAGCACAGGGCAGCACATGGCCGAGAGAAGGGTGCTTGGTGAGCGCCTGGAAGGATAATACAAGGAATACAGGGGCAGAATGGGTCTGCCATTGCTAGAACACTTTGGATGAGATGGGTTAAAACAAGAAGGAAGGGGGTGGTGGAAGAATGCTGGGAAGTAGCCCACTGGTGATGGATTGGTCCTCATGCCTCATGCTAACAAGGCAGACAGGGACCCAGATTTCCCATCAATGCAGGCATGCTCAATGAGGGGCTAGTGCATCTTAGGAAGGAAACAGGTTCTTCGGAGGTGGAAAAACTTTACTTATCATGGGCTGGAGAGAGAGAGAGCTCAGCAGTTAAGAATGTGCCCCTCTAGGAGACCAGAGTTTGGCTCCCAGTACCCAAGTCAGGTGTGTCACAACTACCTCTTACTACAGCTCCAGGGGATCTGATGCCTTCTTCTGGCCTCTGTAGGCACTGCATTCCTGTGCCCGCATCCATACACAGACACACATAGTTTAAAAAATAAAAAATAAAATCTTTTTAAAAATCCAAATGTATCACAAAGCCTTTGGTCCTCCATAGACCCACAGTATACAAACAAATTCAATAAAATGTGTTAGATTTCTTGGGGATGTTAACTCTACAAAGTCATAAAATTTGAAAGATGCTACAACCTGGAGTGTTCCTGAAGACACTAGAAAAGGAAATAAATCAGACACTAAAGGGCAAATACCATGTGGTCCCATGTCACGCTTCTCCAACAGTCACACTGGAGATTAACCACCATCTAGAGGCACCAAGAGGGAGAAATAAGGAAAACCAGGTGGGACCTCCATGGTCGGCTGGGGAAAATTCTTCCCTAATAAATCTCATGGATGAACACACCGATGCCTCGAGGGCTTGTTTGGAGAGTGCGTCTATTATCAGAGCCAGCTTGAAGCTGCTGCGGTCCTGCAAGCATCGTCCAGCACTCGGGAGGCTGATGCATGAGGGCCAAGAGATCAGGGCCAGCCTGGGATACATAGGGAAACTCTATCTATAACAAGACCAAACACGCCAGGGGGCTGGGGACATAGCTCAGTGGTATAGTTCTTGCCTAGCATGCCCAGGGTCCTGGGTTCAAACTCAATCCCCAACAACATGAAAGAAAGTAAGTGTGTGTGTGTGTGTGTGTGTGTGTGTGTGTGAGAGAGAGAGAGAGAGAGAGAGAGAGAGAGAGAGGAGAGCGCTGGGCTACATTCCACATTTTCCTTCAAAATATGCAGGGTCTTTGACCTTTAACTTCAAAATTATTTTTCTTAATGAGCAAAAATTTCAGTAATCTGCCTCCTTCTGTGCTAAAAATTGAAGATGTTTTCACGGCAAAATGGAATTTAAAAGAGGAATAGCCTGTTTTATTTTTCTCTTTCATTTCCCCAGAAGTGCATTTATCATTAACAGCCTCACCCCAGCAGAAAAGTAGTCAGGATCTTATTTTATCATTTTATTTGCTGGCTGATTTTTAAAAATAATACTCTTATTTATGCTTTGAAATGTCCATACATTTATAGACTGTATTCTGATCATACCTATCCACTGCCACCTCCGCCCAACTCTCCCAAGGGACCCCACTCTATTCTTAACCTTATGTTCTCCTTCTTTGTTATCAATCCCCGCAGGGTATGTTTTTGTAGCTCATTTTCATAGATTTTTTTATTTTCTTATATTATATTTTAGAAGGCAACTGAATTTATGAGATGAACACAAACCCCTTCTGTCCCCTTTTGACTTCAAACATCCCAAGAATTCATCTACACTAGTTTTAGGGCAAATTCTGAGATCTGACTTGTGGGGTACACACACCCTGTCTTTCTCCCATTTCCTTATCCTCTATCAGAGTGATGAGGTCCTGAGGCTCAAGACTCAGATGGGATTTTATGTCTTCCTCTGCTTGGTGCTTTTAATCTTGCTTTATACACAGTGGGCATCCAGTATAAATACAAACTGGGATGATTTTAAGCAAAAGCCAGAGCTGGGAGGGTCAGAGCCAGCTCCATGCTCATCACCATCTGCTTCCTACGGACTGAATGGAGTGACCTGAGGGACCACCATCTTCCCTACAGCATCTCACGGTCCAATCCAACCAAATAGCACATTTCCCTGTTGCACTATACCAAGAAAGAAAGGGCAAGATGGCATGGGATTTATAAGAGATATAAGTTGCATTAGATACTGTATTTGGTCACAGACTCTCCATTCCTAACCCTTTAGCTGCGGTTGCTGTTGCGTCTTTTGCCTGACTAGACACTTTTACCAAGTCAAGAACTCCAGAGCAGCTCAAGTGTTGCTGAGTAAGAGATGGGATCCAATATCTACAGTTCACCCATAAGAAGAGTGAGGTTGAGCTGGGTTGTGATTGTGCGGGCCTTTAATCCCAACACTCCTGAAGGCAGAGACAGACACAGGGACAAGGGCAGAGGCAGCGTAGGCAGAGGCAGTACTCTGAGTTCAAGGCCAGGAGGCCAGCTTGGTTTACAGAGAGAGTTCCTGGACAGCCAGGGCTACACAGAGAAACTCTGTCTCAAAAAAACAAAACAAAATAACAAATAAATGAAGCAAGAAGGAGGAGGAGGAGGAGGAGGAGGAGGAGGAGGAGGAGGAGGAGCAAAGCTAGGCTGGAAAGCAAAGGATTCAAACAGAGCTGCTCTTGGTGACTCAGGGACCCTGCAGACTGGCTTTGTCTTGCTAAGGCTTTATAGATTTTCTTCTCTCCACCTAGCATTTCACAAAGTACCCCCCAATCCTACCCAGAGCTAGCACCACTAGGGAATACCCCACCCACTGAGACCCTGACAAATGTCTCTACCAAGGGCCCCCAGGAAGGGCTTTTAGGGTCTGCTGGATGCAGACAGTCGGTCGTTTCTAAACAAGCTATGGAGAAATTACCCATTAAAAAGAAATCCCCTTCACTGTTGTGATTCCCCTACAGCGCAGCCAAACATTTGTGCATTCCGGCTTTGGGAAAGGTGGGGCAGTGGTAGGGCCAGAGGTGGAGAAAGAACAAGACAGTCTCAATCCTTGACCACAGTCATCAGGGGAGGGCGGGGTTGGCATGGCGCCAGCACACTGTTTACTCAGCTTCCTCTTTGTGGGACCTGGGGTGCTCAGACTAAAACGGATGCCTCTACCACCGTGAAACTGGACCATCCTGAGGGCTCTCGGGCAGAATGGCCTGTGTCCCCACACCATCCAGAACATGCCTCCTCTAAGAGACCTTGGTCTTCCCGCTGTGCAGACTTTTCTCTTCCTCCCCTTCTCCCTGCAGCCCAGGTTGAGGACCAGTTGCTGCCCTTCCTTGCTCTCAGGAAGTCCCCCAGCTCCTCTGCAGGGAGACAGCCTGTCTTTCTCCGTCTCACCGCAGACCCGTTCCCCCAGACAGCATTGGTATCGCTTTGACCATCAGCATCTGGCCCACAGCTGTTGTGGCTGTCATTTACTTTCCTAATGGTGCTCCTTGGAGTCCACTCAAAGCAAATGGTTTCCATCCTGGTCTTCCTGAAGTTTCTCCAAGCCTCCTTCCCTTTCCTTTCTGCTTGGCCCATTGTTATGTTGGTGCTTCTTCAAGAAGGAGCTGTCTGTGTTAAACCCTTGCTCACTGGCTGCTGTGCCAGCTTCTGTTCAGAGGCCCAGGTGGCCAGGGTTTAGATTGGTTTGCACATGGGTCAGTTCTGGCTGGGGATGAACACATGTGGTGCCTGCCGTATTTCCCAAAGGGGGCCTTAGACACCTCCCCCATCCGCCTCCCACATGCCATAGTGCAAACACTTGCCCAGACCCAAAGCCAACTGCCTGGCCTGGGACAGAGGCTCTTTGTAAAAGAAAGCCAATCTCAAGTCTGTCCTTGCCCGGTTGAGGTCTCCAGCCTTCTCTCCATTATAAAGCAGTAGGCATCAACTGCCCTTCCATCTTGTTTTCCTTAAACAACTCAGTGTGTCCTTCTCATTTTTCTTGTCTTCTTTGAGATGCTCCAAGTGTCTGAAGCACCCGTCCTAACAGCGTTATCTGACCCTATATCTGCTTTCATTTTCCACTCGTCCCTTGCTTGACACCAGATCTGCAGCTGACCTATCCCAGCTTCGCTCCTTGCGAGACCCATTCCCTTGGGGAGATGGAGCCTTCGGACCCGCCACTCTCGCCAGGTGTAGTGACTTTCCTGATATTCCAGTCCCAGGGAGGCTGAGCCGAGGGAGCTGAGAGTGTGCTGCCTCTGTGAGCTTCCTAACAAGGCCCTGCCCCCGATATAGAAATGAACTCCTGTTCCCCAGCAGGGAGAAGAGTGCCTGGACACAAGAGTCACTCATCAGAGAGCATCTGAGTGAATGGATGAATGGATGGGTGAAGAAATGAATGAACAACGTAATCCTTGGAGAAAGCAGGATCAAAAAGTGAAGGCATCCCTACACAGAGATTAACAGCCTTGACTCTTAACACTGGCATCTGGGGGCTGAGGACTGTCAGCAAAATGCTTGCCTAGCAAACACAGGGACCTGGATTCCATCACAAGAAACCCAAATTACGAAACCCAGGTGTGGCAGCACATGCCTGGCATTCCAGAGGAGGTGGAGGAGGCAGGTGCATACCATACCTAGGGCTGGCTCATCAGTCAGTCTGGCCTACTTGGCAAGTTTTAGGGAAATAAGACATCCTGTCTCCAAAAACAAAGAAAGGTAGACCTTGCCTGAGAACAGTACCAGAGGTTGACCTCTGAACACACACACACACGTACACGTACACAGACACAGCTACAAATGCACATAAGCTCACACACACAGACATACATGCATGTGCACACACACATGCACACAGACACACACAGATGCACATGCACACACACTCTCTCTCTCACATACTCACTCTCTGTCTCACACACATGCACACAGACACACACAGATGCACATGCACACACTTTCCCTCACATACTCTCTGTCTCACACACACACACATGCACTCAGATACACACACATGCATACAAGCTCACACATAGAGAAACACATGCACACTCCCTCTCACAGTCACTCTGTCTTTCACACGCACACACATGAGCACAGACATATATGTATACAAGCTCACACATACACAGACACTGATGTGCACGTGCGCGCACGCACACACACACACACACACACACACACACACACACACTACACTCAGGGATTCTTCAAGGGAGACAAGAAAATTCAGAGATGCAGACTTTCAGAACTGCAGCCCCTGAGGAGTCCCGCCCACCTCATCCAGTACTTCTGAAATACAGTGCCTCAGCGCACTACAAGCAGGGGGCGCTGGCCCCCATATAGGACTCTGGGTATTCATGTTCCCTGTTCTCCACCAATCAGGAGGGAGAAGGCCTGTGGCTACACAGCTCCTGGCTCCGTGGCTGTCCTACCCCTGGAAACTGGTTTTCTCATCTGTTCCGGGAAGCTGACTGAAGCATGTCCCAGATGCGATTCTGGTGGGTTCAGTGCACTGACGGATGAAGTGACGGTCTTGGCGATGGGGTCTGGGATTCCTCCAGGGCTTGCTTAACCTGGACCAAACCTCCTTCCTTTTCAGAGCACTCTTCACTTACTGTGATGGTCTGGGGAGCTCTGGGCTAGGATTGCATGCTAAAGGAAGCTTAGGTTTGGCTTTAGAAGGAACTGTGTATCATCTGTTTACACGCTCTTCCTGGTAACACCGAGGGTAACATCGTGGGGCAACATAGCAATCTCTGGTTGCTGTACTCAGGAAACATTCTGCATTGCCCTTTAAGTTTACTCAATATTATTATTGTGGGAGTGAGTGGAAATGGGAGAATCAGAGGTGGGAAGCTACCATCAAACAAAGCAATGCCAGGAGGGGTTCCTTTCAGTTCTTGCCTGTTTTTACCACAAAGGCTGTAAAGGGCTTTCCTGAGATGAGCCGAAGAAAATGGGTCCTGGTTCCTTCCACAGGGAAACTTGTTTACCCCATAGCTTTTTTTAGAACCCATAAAAGTTGGTGAGCTTGGCTCCACCTCACATCCTCAGTTCTTCTCCACTCAGCAAATATCAACAGGAAGGGGCTCTTGTCAGTGACAACATTGCAAGCAGAGAGCACCAGAGCCTTAGATTGGCTGCCTTGTCAGAACTGGAGACCAGACATGATCTCAGAAGCATGTTTACAGAAGCAAACACGACTCAGAGCATGGGAGAAGACACTGCTAGCCAGGTAAATTGATTCTGTCGGGGACAGCACTGCTTTTGACGTGACTCCTATCAATTTACAGAGTCGTTTTGGAGCCGAAAAAGCATCCAAGCAGAAAATCATTTATGATAGTTGGTAGCTGATTAAACAATATAACTGTGAGGAAAACACACACAAACACACACACACAGCTAGTTTTAGAAGTGTGGCAGGAAACCAGGAGAGAAGTGTACCAACCAGATAGGAATCACCGTCTCCACAACGGCCAGAGAACCAGATGACAGTGGCTTAACAAGGGATGAAGAAGAGATGACCTAGATCCTCCTTGGGGTTCTGGGGAGCCAAACATCTTCTGCAAGGGATGAAGTCTCAGAACTAGCAATGGGTCCCGTTGGAAGGGCCTTGGGCAATACATCAGCAAGTTTGGGTGAGTAACCAAAGAGGTCGCTGTTTGAGCAACGAAATAAACGATGCCATTATTGGACATCCGCAGAATGAAAGAAATACCCATTGTCCTCAGCTGATAGAAATGCACAAATAATGACTAAATAACAATGGATTGTGAGAGGAAGGGTAAGGATTCTCTCGGAGTTGGATACCCACTCATTACAAGGGGTAAGAAAAACAGAAACATTTGCATGAGGCAAACATCGCCATGACGATCCTTTAAGGTGGGAATTCTCCGTCCATCCTCAAATTAACAGGCAAGACTATAAACAAGCCAGATTCTCTTTCCCTGGAGAGTGCTCATTACAGACTGGAAAACAGCATCTCTACAGAGGGGAACCTGGCAGTCAGACTCCTAGGTGAAAGCAGTGAGCCTGTCCCTGGTTTCATGTGCAGAAGAGTTACCACAGTGTCTGCAGTGTTCTTATTCCAGACATGTCACCTCAATCTAACGATGAGAAGACACCAGCAAAGCCCAAAGTGGGAGCCAGGCTCTGAGGTGCTCGTTTTAGCTTCACAAGTGCCAAGGTCATGGAAGACGACAAAAGCACATGAGTTAGACCCACGTGAATCCTAACCCGAGTCTTCTTTCAGAAGAGCATCTTACTGGTGACCCGGAAGTATAAGTGAGGTCTGTGGGCAACATGGAGCACCGCACCAATGTTAATGTCCTGGCTTTAATGCAGTTAGATTGTTTCTTGTCTTTTGGATTTAGGCAAAGCTTAAAACTGGATTAAAGGTGGATGGGTGGGCTGGCATCTCTGCATCTGTGTTGTTGTCGTAACAATTGTTTATCAGTGTCTGTGTTGAGGACAAAAATCATCTCTGCGGTCCAGGCTGGTCTATAAGTTAATACTGACCCAGACTAACCTAGAACCTGCTTCAATCTTCCTGCCTTAGCATCATGAGTGCTGGGATTACACCTCTAGATCTCTGTGTTAATTTTATTTTTATTTAATTTTGTGTATCTGTGTGTGAGTGTGTGTGTGTTTAGGCTAGAGGTTGACATTGTAGTTTATGTTTTTAGACAGGGTCTCTCACTCAGCCTGAAGCGAACTGATTTGTGTCAACTGCCTAGCCATGGAACCTCAGGCAACCTCCTGTGTCTGCCTTTCCATCACTAGGATGATAGCTGTCCTCCACAAAACCCATCTTTTCCATGGGTGCCGAGGATCTGAACTCATGTCCTCACATTTGTGTAGTAAGATTTTAGTGATTAAGCCACCTCCTCGGCCCTCTGTGTTCTTCTTGACTCTATTTGGTAAGTTTAATATTATTATAAAACAAAAAGGCGCCGGGCGATGGTGGCGCACGCCTTTAATCCCAGCACTCGGGAGGCAGAGGCAGGAGGATCTCTGTGAGTTCGAGACCAGCCTGGTCTACAGAGCTAGTTCCAGGACAGGCTCCAAAGCCACAGAGAAACCCTGTCTCAAAAAACCAAACAAAAAAAAAAAAAAAAAAAAAAAAAAAAAAAAAAAAAAAAAAAAAAAAAACAAAAAGGCAAAAAGAATGAAGCCAAGCTTGAGTTCATCTGGGCAAGGCTGAAGGGTACTCATTTTCCAGGTTAGACCTGTAGAAGTCACTGAATGGAGAGAAGTCTTACAGGTTAGCTATCTTCCTTATCCCTGAGTTTTAAAACCCAAACAGACATATCAACCCACTTTGCTTAGTTTTGTGAAAAAGAAGTCATGTCTACAAGAGCAAATATTTAGTCAATATTTTCTCAGTCCTTTAAATCCACAGGAGAAGAAACAAAACGCAGATGCTCGTCTGACTATCCCCCTTTAGGTCAATAGAAGTCATTCTTAGTCCTGTTTCTAGTGACCACCTCCTGCAAGATATTAACTCATCTGCGGAGAGAAACGTAATTCCCTCTAGCTGTATGGAAAGGCTTCTGTTCCCAATGTGCTTCTTCACTGGGACACCTCAGCGATTCAGAATAATCCTAGACCTGTGCACTCATGAGCTCAGCTGCCTCCCAGTGGAGTCCACTGCTCTGTGCTGAACCCTGGGAATATGCTGGAAACAGACACCATTATGTCATCCGGAATGGTGACCCAATTACGTACCTCCCACCGCATTGCAACGGGATGTCATTTCCCAGAGTACCAGAGCCATGGAGTAGACATCTGTCTGCTTGAAGGACTCCACGTTTTCCAAATTCATCCTGGATTCTAGAACTTCGGGGGCCATGTATCTTGCAGTTCCCACCTTTTAAGATAAAAACAAAAACACAGAATGAAGCTCATAATTGAACTTCAATTTTGAGTGAATTTATCACAGGGGATTTGAGCTTGGGTTTCACATATACAGATGTTTTAGTTTGTTTCTAGAAGTTTCTTCCTTTTAGATAACTTCATACATGTATATGATGAATTTTAATCAAATTCACCCCCATTATCTGTAGATGTAACTAAGGAAGTCCACAAGAGCCTGGAATAAAGGATAGCCAGTATTTACTGGTTTGGGAAGAAAACTCACAATAAGAGTTGAGAGCGTGGTTCTCTGTGGGGGCTGGAAGCTGTGAACCGAACTCCAATCATCAACCAAGAGAAAGCAAGGGGCTCTCACGCTTCCTGTTTGGTTGGTATCCAAGAGGCTATTGGCTGAATGAATTCCCACAACAGTTATCTTCTCTTATTTCCTGTCCACTTCTTGAATCCCTTCTCGCTAATAAGGCCCATACCTACTTCCATGTCTTTTTGAAATGATCCATTGCATTTGATTAGTGTTACTCATAAAAACATTAGTGGGGGCTTTCTGGGATCAGGGTAACTATCGGTGGCTGTACCACTGAAGACACGTGACTCCTCTCCTTTCTCCCCAGCAACCATCCATTGGCAACAGCTCTTCAGCTGGAGGTGGGGTGGGGTACTTTCTTTCTTCCTAGCCCTCTACCCTTCCTTCCTTCTTTCCTTCTTTTTTTCCTTACTGCCTTTTACAACTGATAAAATTTTAAAATTATGAAAAGACTGGGGTGATTATAATTTGTATAGGGTTGGAGGTTAGGGTGGAAATTAAGTAGGCTCAGGGATCTTTTTTGAAAAAAAAAGGGAAATTGGATGGGATAATAGGTATATTAGTGTGAGCTTATTCACACTAATAATAATAATAATGAATAATAGAGTGAATACTTGTGAGCTATTATTTGTAGACAGTTTACATTGGTATAGATTCTTTGTATACTGATATGAATTCAAATTATATTTGTTATATTGAACATGCTCCTATTTCTGTTTACAATATTTGTACACCTATGCAAAGTTACTTTGTCATATTGTATACCTGCATGTTTCTACCTCTGCCTAAGACATTTTGTATATTGACACAATTTTATATATCTAACCTATATTTATCATATTGCACTGTACATTTCTGCCTCTGATCAAGATACTTGTATACTGCTTACAGTTTGAGGTCACTGTACTCATTTGGTGCACAGTTGTTTAAAGATTGTTTAATATTCTAATATGAAGTCTTAGTCTTTAAGCTATACAGGTTTAAGTATTATAAGTCAGTTAGCCCCTCCTGTATGCCTGTATGCCTGCCTGCCTGCCTGCCTCCCTCCCTCCCTCCCTCCCTCCCTCACTCCCTTCCTCCTTCCCTCCCTCCCTCCATTCCTAATTTTATTTTTTATATGGTTTCATATAGCCCAATCTGGTCTCATCCTCTGTCGCTGGTGATTGCCTCGAACCACTGATCCTCCTGCCTCCCTTTCCAAAGTGCTGAGAGAACAGACCACACCCACTCTTTGGAGATGCTAAGAATCAAACTCGTGGCTTCATACACACTAGGCAATTACTTTGCTGACTGAGTTACAGCCCTGTGCAGATTCTCTCTTTAAAAAAAAATCATAGTGCTGCTTTAAATGAGGAGAATTACACAGGCAGGCAGAACACATACTATTATTTTCTCTCTGAAAGTTCTTCAAAGACTCTAAACAAAACATGCTCAAACAAGTATCCCAACCCAGAGCCACTAATGTGACTGCATATGCCATCCTGCTATTGAGTATTCTTATAGATAACCTCAAGGGCCACAGCTATGATATTTTAGATGCTTAGATATTTCTAAAGATTTATTTAGTTTTATTTTATGCGGCGAGTGTTCGGCCTGTGCCACATGTGCCTACAGAGGCCAGAGGAGGACTTCAGATGCCCTGGAACTGGTGTCACAGACTGTTGTGAGCTGCGTATAGGTGCTAGGAAGAAAGCCCAGGTCCTCTGGAGGGACTAAGGATCAGAGTCCGTGAAAGGCAGATAAACAGGGAGGAGGGCTATGACTAGGTAATAAAGATGGTGAACTTCTTCCTCACCTTGGGGACCTAATACAAAATACTGGCAGCTTAAAACAAGGGCCACATTGGCGTTTTTTCCCTCCCACCAATAGGCCTCTGGATGGAGGGTTACCAAGTTCAAGGATGTGCTGTACGACAGTTGAGCCAATCAACCATTCTAACTTTCTTCAAACTGAGCAATGCTAAATTAGGAAAGGAAGAGCCATCAGAGACGATAAAACCCCCAGTCCTCGAGAAGATGCTGGATTCTCAGTTTCCACATCCCCCCGTGCTCTGCAGGTCCCCTTTCTGTGTGTCTGCTGCATGTCTGTGTCTCTTCAATCCAACAAACACCTTCCTTCAATTGCTGATTCTTTCCGTTCCTGTTTGCTGTTGTTCTGTCCCTTTTTGCTGTTATTTGCAATTTTTCCACTGCCACCTTTCACCCTTGAGGTTTTTTCCTTACCTTTTAATTCTTTAACTGGCAGAAAAAGGAACCTGGTCAAAACCCCTAGAATAACACCCTGTAAGAACAGCAAGTGCCTTTAGCTGCTAAGTCATCCTCCAACCCCTTACATGTTTATTTTTGGTTTTGCAAATTAGATTTTTTTTTTTCATTTTTGAAACTCTAAGACTCTTGATGGAAATAATTGTCACTCATATGGGTCACTTAAGGACCATTTAATTTTAATTTACCCCATGGCCTCTATGACATAATTTCATAAATCGCTGCTAAATTAAAGTCATATGAAAAGACCAAATCATACAATAATTTCTATGAATGTGATGTGTAGCTATATTCTGGTTATTTAGGTCTGTGATCAGTTTTATGATTGACATTAAACAAACACGGGGTTGCAGGGAAAAGGGAAAGCCATTTCTAAGGGAAGGTTTTCAAATGGAAATGTTTGATATCGCAGCATATATGAGTTCATCCATCCATTACTGTCATACAGAGGTCAAATAATTAATGCCATCTGTTTCAAACAATAGTTCTTATCGGCCTGTCTTAGAAGACATTTTCCTTTTTAACAGAGCTCTCTGGGAGTCACCGCCCTGACGTACTGACTTGTTTGTGTCTCAGCAAGATGACCTCCGCCCTGCACGTGCTGCTAGGGTCAGAGCCCTGACAAGGCAGGAACCTCGCAAGCGCGGTTCTTTCTGAGGAGGGTTTTAGAGTGTGCCCTGTTAGCCAGCTACAGAGAGCTGCAGTGCTCATGGTAGAGCCACTGTGTTAGTAACCAGCCGTCACCTGGGAAGGAAATCATCCGAATGTGCCTTCCTCAAAGGGTTTCCATTTGGATCTGGGACAATGCCTCAAAAATGGAATTACAGGGCTGGGAAGACGGCTCAGAAAGTAAAGCGCTTGCCAGACCAGCAAGAAGATAGCAATTTAGTCCCCAGAATCCAGGCTACAGGTGGATATGATGGCACACCCTTGTGATTCTACCACTGCATGGAGGTGGAGCAGAGACAGGAGGCTCCCTAGAGCCATCTATCCATCCAGTCCAGCCAAATTGGTGAGCTTCAGTGTCAGTAAATGACCTTGTCTCCCCAAACAAGGTGAGTAGCAATGGAGGAATAGATCTGGGCTCCATACACAATCCGTTTGTATGTGCACTGACACATACGTGTACCTGCAGACACACACACTTCACACACAGAATAACAGACAGACAGATGGACAGACAGATAAATGGAACTGTTTACTCCTTCGACAAATACTTATTGGTCGCTTTCACTGCCTGGCATCATGCTGGGTATCTTTGGTAGCCTCGTAAGTGTGGATTTGGACTTCAAGGTCTTCTTCTAGAATCTAGAACCAGCATAATCACTAAGACTAAACAGCAGAAAAGATGTAGTACAATCATGTGAGAGGAAAAGTTAGAGGTAAGATGTCAACAGTTCCTGAAAGAAAGACAACGGTTTGCAAATGGAAGGGGAATGGGAAGCCAGCAACAGCTGACTCAGGTTAGAAAGGATTTGAAGACAGAGTTGGAAAAATGCTATCTATTAACGAAGGTAACCTAGTTGAGAGACTGTGGGATGGTGGGGACTGATGGGTACTATCATGCTAATTTTCTAGATCTTTTAATAAATCCCACAATGTAGAGCTCCTTGAGACAAGAGGCCAGGTGTGTGGGTCAAGAGGGGAGGTGAAAATAGCCAAGTTATGTGGTCAGCCTGGGTTGACATACATGCACACATGTTTGTGGGATATACAAATGAGATGTAAGGAATGAGAAGATGGCATCTACAGGAAGATAGATGGACCTGGAGGGCATCGTGCTAAGTGGAATAAGCCAGGCTCAGGAAGACATATTGAGTGTTGTCTATCCTGTATGGGATTTAGAGGAAGAGATGGAAATGGAAGTAAGGTGTGGGGGCAATTTAGAGATATGGAAGGAGAAAGAAGGCAGGGAAGAAAAGGGATAATAGGAAGATATTGTTTGAAGTTCTTCATACGCATGGATGGAAATGTCACAATGAAATGCATTACTTAGTATAACTTATTTATAGTATACTAATGAGTATATTAAATGAGGAGCCGGGAGATGGCTCAGTGGATCAAGTGCTCATTGCATAAGCATGAGGACCTGAGTTCAGCTCTCCAATACCCATGTAAAAGCCAGGCACACTGGCATACCTGTAATTCCAGTGCCTCTGGGTTGGGGTGGGGTTGAAGGAGCAGGACTCACCAATTTTAGCAATCAGTGAATTCTGAGCTCAGTAAGACACCCTGTCTCAAAAAGTAAGGTGGAAAGCAATGAAGAAAAGACACCTGATGTCAACGTCTGATCGACACACATGCATGCTTGGGTGAGCGCATGTGTGCACATGAGTATGTGTGTGTGCACATGAGTGTGTGTGTGTGCGCACATGAGTATGTGTGTGTGTGCACATGAGTATGTGTGTGTGCGCACATGAGTATGTGTGTGTGCACATGAGTATGTGTGTGTGCACATGAGTATGTGTGTGTGCACATGTGCACATGCATGCATGTGCTCTCTCTCTCTGTCTCTCTCTCCCCTACCCTCTCTCTCTCTCTCTTCACACACACACACACACACACACACACACACACACACACACCTCTCTAATTGAAAATTTTCAGAGAGGAAATATGGGAACTACTTTAGCCAACAGCCTTTAAGATACCACCCACTTAGGGTGTGGTCTCATGTATTCCAAGTGCAGACAAAAAGCATGTGCAGCCCTCTTTTCTGCTGGATTCAGTTCCAGTTCCCAGCACACTCAGAGGACTGCAGATCACTACCCTTACTGTGAGTTTATCCCCAAATAAACAAACCTTTGCTATATTCCATTCTGGGCTATTGTGGAACTCTTTGGTATGACTACAAGGAAATAAAAGAAAAGGGTAAAGGTGAGGCCAAGCGTGGGCTTAGGGTCTGGAGTGGCAGCTCGCACTTACCTGCCCACTGTTGGCCAAGTCATCCACAGACAGAGTAGGATCCAGACGCAGGGACAGCCCGAAGTCACACAGGCAACAGGTCAAATCATTCTTCACGAGGATGTTCGAGCTCTTGAGGTCCCTGTGGACGATGGGCATCTTCGGCCTCCCACATGGAGTGTGGTCACTGTGGAGATGAGCGATGCCCCTGGCCAGGGAGCTGCCCAGCTTCCGCAGGTCCTCCCAGCTGATGACATGCCTGGTGAGGTATTCCTGCAGGTTGCCCTTGGCGTGGAAGGCTGTGATCAGCCAGTACTGCTTTCCCAGCTCTGTCTTCCGCTCCTCAGCAGTCAGGAACTGCAGGATGTTCTCGTGTTTCAGGTTGATGTCTGAGAAGATGTCCTTCTCCGTTTTCCATGATGTGTACTCCTCATAGGGAAAGATCTTGACAGCCACAGTCTCAAACTGCTCCGAGGTGTTCTGCTTCAGCTTGGCCTTGTAGACCTCGGCGAAGCGGCCCTTCCCCACCAGCGTGTCCAGCTCAATGGGTAGCAGTTCCGTGTTGTGATTGATGTTGTTGGCACACGTAGAGCTGATGTCCGAACGGTCGTCCTCCAGGATGATGGCACAGTTATCGCTGAACTCCATGAGCTTCCGGGGCTTGCTGCTTTCCCAGGATGGGCTCAGCCTCTGCTGCCGGTGGACACGATAGCAGTAGAAGATGATGATCACAGCTATGGCAATCCCCAGTGGAGGCAGGAGGCTGACGCCAGTCACTTGGATAATGACCAGGAACAGGTCAGGATTGCTGGCTGTGTATTCTGATGGAGAGAGAAGGCGGGAGAGACTGATTAGGTTTGGAAAGTGTGAGCCACCAGGAAGCAAGTCTAAAACCATGTACTTGTACACAGTAGCATCGAACTGTGTCCATGGATACTAGATAGTGATTGTTGGCAGGGATGCTACATACTAGCACACCATCCATGTCCTTCCCAAGGTGAAACAAATCAGATCACGGACACCGTATCAACCAAAGTTTGATACATAAGACATTGTTAGATAATACCGGCTCCAGGTCTCTTCTTCATCAGCAATCACGCACATGGATGGGGGAGACGAACTGAGGAGATGGCTCTGTTGATAAAGTGTCTGCCTTGCAAGCATGAGGACCTGCACTAAACCCCCAGAGCCCATATAAAAATTTAGATGCTTGTAATTCCAGGTTTGGAGAAATGGAAGCAGGTGCATCTCCGAGGTTCACTTGTCAGCCAGACTAGCTAAATCAGTGAGGCTCAGGTTAAGTGACAGACCCTGTCACATAAAGGGTACATGTCATTCCTAAGAAATCCACTAGCATCCACATGCATACATTAGCACACCCGTGTTCCTTGCAGACATAAACACAAATCTGTGTATGAATGCACACGCACGTGCACACACACACACTCACACACACAGATACCATGCTGGTATAACATAACAGACTTCCAAAAGATCCTTTCTTTCTAGGCTTTTCCTTACCCCTCAGGCACAGAGCTGATGGTTCAGGGTAGCCCAAGCAAAGCAGGAGCAGAGGAGGTGGGAGCTTGGGAAGGGGCAAAGGTAATCCTTGCTTGAGACCATTCACTCAAATATCTCCTACTCTTCAATCTTCAGCTTAAAGGCCACTCTCTAAGAAAAGCTGGGGAAACTTAGGAAAGTGTCTTGTGTTACATAATCTTATGGCTTCTCTACCCTTCCCGTGTGGCTGTGTTTCTGTGTGTGTCTGCAGCATAATGGGAGCTGAGTAACTATATGTGCTGAATGAAAACAAAGGTCAAGGCACTGGGGATAGACAGAATGATGTAACTCCTGTTTTTAAGCAGTTGTTTACGTAGTGATGTGATTTAGCGTTAACCGGCTTCCTTCCCCACCTGGCCAGGGTTGTGTGTTTGAAAACTCGATTCCCAGCTGCTAGTGTTGTTTTGGAAGCTTATAGAACCTTCACCAAGTGGAACCTCACTCCCTAGAGGAAGAGGTCCTTTTAGGGCGAGTCTTGAGATGTGTAACATGCTTTCTGCTTCCTACGAATGCGCTGTGGCCAGGTCCTGCCAGCCTGCTTTCATCCTGGGGACTGACTGTATCCCTTCAAACCGCAAGCCAGAATAATCTCTTCCTTCCTTAATTTGATTCCTTTCAAGTCATTTGTTCATAGCAATGCAAAAGTAACCGATTCATATAGAACCTGATAAAACTATAGAGTGTGGTTCTCAAATGGTGGGTCATGACCCCTTTAAGAATTGAATGACCCTTGATGGCTGTCCAAGACCATCAGAAAACACAGATATAATCCCAGATGGCAAAATTAAAGACAGAGATGAAATACTATTTAGGTGCCACAGCAAATTGCAGCCCATATCCCTAGTACCTGTGGACATATTTGGAAGGGAAGGCTTGCTTGTCTCAGCTCCCCACAGCCAGCTCTACATGAGATACTTTGCCATGAAACTGGTTTGGTCAACTGACCTAACGTTCCTCTCAGGATGATGGGAGCTCTACAGGGGCTAGGTCATCTCGTACCATGGGGATATGCTGGCAATTGGCACAGGTGGGGCCACTCCCATGATTTCCTACGTTTGTGCTGTCGAATGAATATTGCCTTATGTTCCGAAGCAGGCAGATTTAATCAGTTTTTATATAGCCTTGTAATCAAGATACTCCCACACTTTCAACGGTTGTTAAACAGATGGGGTGGGGAAAGGCGAGAGAAGCCTTCTGTGGATGCTCTTAATAGAGACCTCCCTGCAATTAACATCAGCTCTATCCTACAAGCCAGAAGTATTTACTATCTGGCACTATTTTTATAGGAAAAAAATCAGCAGCCCCCTATCCTATAAATGTGGTTTTTAATACCCTGTAATATACTGGAAGGATTTGGACAGGCTTTACTTTTGGACCATTGTGAATATTCCTTTCCACATATAAGAAAATACAATTCAGACTTTTAACTATTGCCTGCATAATTTCTTAGCTGAGTCTCCAATGCATTAAAATGCCTGTACGAACTGTTCATTTGTTACTGATCAGTTTTTAATTTCTAACTACAGACAGAGAAGGTTTTCCTTGTTCATTTCTAGTTCTTCTAAGTCTGGGGCAAGTACCCAAACTGAAATTAACATGTGACATTGACTGCAGAAGGTTCGAGAAATCCCCTGGCTGAAGGTCAGAAACGAAAGCTTCACTTTCCCCTCCTGTTTCCTGTGACCTTTCTCTTTTCTTTCTTTTCTAAACCTACACATAAAGTTGTACGTGTGTGGAGTGGGTGAATAACATCTGTCAATCTAGAAGCTTCAAAGAAGAGGTGAAGGGAGTCACAATAGCAGTCGAGGCCGGAAGGAAGCTTTGGGATGTGGCTGGATCTAAACAAGAGCTGCCCAGGCACGCCACCATGCTGGCCTCTGGGCTTCTCTATTAGATAAAGAAAGCTGTAGGTGTGGACACACGCCAGGGGTCTCCTCGGCCCAGAATGTGCTTCTTCCTGGCAGCCCCCAAGGAAGGGAGACTCCCAGACTGAGCGCATGCTATGTGTTGGCTGGGTTCACAGGGTTTACATAATTCTCATATTTAATTGCTGAGGAAACTCTGCTGGGTAGAAACAGCTACGTTTTAAGACCCATGTCCCAGAGAGGAATGCTGAAGTTCAGAGTGTTTAATTTCCCAAGACTGACGCAAGCAATAAGCAAGATAATGTTTGCAACAAGCTTTATTGGACCAGAGCTCTTAGCCTTATGTCACAGTGCCTCTAAATGTCACACTAGTGACCCTGCTGAGAGCCAGTGAAGAATGGTTTTAACTAACCTTTCAATTTGATACAGTGTCTGTCTTTATTGGAGGCTACAGCAAGTACTTTGGTGGCCATCTGCTCAGTGATACAATTACTTTTCTTTTTATGTGTGTGAGTGTTTGCCTGTATGAAGACATGTGCACCACCTGCATACCTGGTGCCCACAGAAGCCACAAGAGAGTGCTGAATCCCCTGGAACTGGAGTTATAGATAGTTGGGAACCCTCACGTGGGTGCTGGGCACTGAATCCTGATCCTCTGTAAAAGCAGCCAGTGCTCTTAACAGTGAGCCATACTGTCTATTCTTGGGGGGTGCCGGCATCAAAAGGGCCATGCCATCTGCACAGAGACTACTTCTCGTTCCCAGTTCCAAACCACAGTGAGGAACTGCCCCTAAGTGGGCATTTTTTTTTTTCCTGCTAAGGAGAAAAGGTTTTAACATGAGCGAGAATTTAGAAGCCTGCTGCAGGACCTCACACATATGGGAACTCAAACCATGCTTGTGAAACTAGTCTGACTGGTTGCCATGAAAAGTGTTTTATGTAACATAACATTAGAATATTAGAGCTAGCTTTGGGTAGAATTTTTTGAAGGTTCATTTTTTTTTTAATGAAGCTTTATGTTTGCAATAGCAAATATTCTTAGCCTGGGCTTTGTGAATGGAATTCAGTGGTCCTATGAATTCAGTGAGCAAAAGGCCCCAGCTTCTCTGACCTTTAACTAACATGTATCATCTATTTTTTAAGATAATTATTTAATATTTCATTGCATGTGTGTGCCTGCATGAACGTATGTGTACCATGTGTGTACAGTACCCTCAGAGGTCAGAACAAAGCATCAATTCCCTGGAATTTACAGATGGTTGTGAGCAGCCGTGTGGGTGCTGAGAAACAAACCTGGGTCCTCTGCAAGAGCACTAAGCGCTCTTACCTGCTGAGCCACCACTCCTGCCCCCAAAATAGCACTCTGAATCATTTCTAAGTGTTTGCTGTACCCAAGATTATGTCAGCTGCAGAAATCAAAGACGTGTACACGCCACATCCTATCTGGAACAAAAACCGTGACACACGCATGCTTTGCTTGTCACTGAGACATCTCGGTTTTTCTTTCCTTTCAGATCTCCTGTTAGACCCTGCCCAAGCATTACTATAGAAATATATATTCATCTATAAAAATGTGAGATCATTGCGTTTCAGCACGGCAGTATTTCACATGCATTTACAAGTCTCTCCGAGCAATTCTACAGACTTCATCTGACTTCAATTAGTCCGCAGTGCACATGCACAAAACAGAAAGCGCCCTTGGAAGAAGCACGGAGTGCTGGCCCCTCCAACAGTGCTCCTACAGCAAGTTCAAGACGACCCATCTCCCTGGGATGTGGGTAACAGATGCTACAGGTAAATCTGCCTGGGTTGGTGTATGGCTTTCCACGTAAGAGACTGGGGCTTTTGCTGACCGCTTTGCTGAGTCTGGGAAGGAGTGCCATGCTCTAGTGGGGAGCCCTCTGTGATTTTCTTCTCTGGAGAGACAAGTAGCATACAGTGAGCTTTGGCAGGCACGATACTAAGCAACACATCCACAAACACTGTATGACCTTCCTTCCAACAGTCCCGAGTCAGTTTCTGCTTTCCAACACTGTGGAGGCAGGCACTGGGCTGCTCACAGCATGCTTACTCAGTAGAGATCCCTAGGGCACTTCCCTCTGGTAGTCACCGAGCAAACAAATGAATGTGTCAGTTTTAATGTACTAATTAAGGTAGTGACTTGAGACAGGATGCTTTTCCTTCCCTCCCTGTATCTCACCCTAGCTCTGCTTCCTTCCTGGTCCCTTGCGTACATTCTTGTGGCTCTAGATGACCACGGGTGACATGTGGACGTCTTTGCACTTACAGATTCAGTGACATCTCTCCAAGGATCTCTCTAGATGTCATGTATTGTTCATCAACATACACACCAGATCACCAAGATGAGTGGAAAAGTGCCAATGTCGCTTTCTAGT